GTTACTCTACTCTTAAGATAGACATTCATGCCTGATACAAAGAATCTTCTATTATCCTTTTTTTTAATTAAAAATTTTTTAAATGTTTATTTTTGAGAGAGAGAGCAAGAGAGAGAGCACAAGCAGGTAAGGGAGAGAGAGGGAGAGGGAGAGAGAGAGAGAGAGAGAGAAAGAAAGAATCCAAAGCAGGCTCCAGGCTCTGAGCTGTCAGCACAGAGCCCGACACGGGGCTCGAACTCACAAACCATGAGACCATGACCCGAGCTGAAGTTGGATGCTTCCCCGACTGAGCCACCCAGGTGTCCCTCTATTATCCTTTAAAAATAAATATGTTGTGACTACCCTAGCCTGTTTTTCCCCCCAAATAAACTTCAGGACCAGACTAGCAAGTTCCACTAATCCCCCAAACACCTACTTCCCCTAAAGGAGAGTATATTCCTTTAACATTCTGTAGTCATTAAACGTAAACACCAGCCAGAGAAACAGCCCTCCTGTTTAATGATGATTAAAGAATGTATAGAAACTTCTGGATCAAGGATAGCACGGGACCAGTTGGCTATACATACAGCTGGGACTGGGCACCTGATTCAAGAATGGGAGGATATCTTTATACACCACGAACACGTCACTTGCTTGTGCCCAGGAGATTAAGGACCAGGTCTTGTGAGGGTTTCAGGATGAAGAGGCAGGGAATATCAGAATGGATGGACATTAGGACATTTCTCTTATCCCATAGACAGCTACCCCTGCCACACACCTAGGGCTGCAGGGCAGACCCTCCTGGGTGTGCAGGGGAGAGGCAGCATGACGGAACGAGGGAGCTGGAACAGAAAACAGAGACTCGACCTTGAGTCTGCCGCACTGTGTGACCTCAGACAAGTCACTGTGTCTACAATTCCTACCCTCATCATCTGGATACAGCAATATTAGTACCAATAGTAAATCATAATAACCACCTGCAGGGGGTTGTTGAGACGGAGGTAATGAGTTAACCACTTCCTGAACTATACAAGGCTGTCCAATACTTTTCTGGGTTAAATTGATAATGGTAGCTTCAGGAGAAAGCCCATCTGTGTGGTTCTGGTTCCAGAATCTGAGGAGAAAAGGGAGCTGCCTGCGGTGGGAACGATAATGTATAACTTGACGAAATCACGCTGCCTTAAACACTGGCCATGCCAGGGCTCCAGGCTCTGCGGGGAGGTGGTACAAATTGGGAAGGAGGAATGTGTAGGAATCTCACACGAAGAGGGCACTGAAGATACAGGGGTTCCACCACCCATTGAGGGAGGTGGGAACAGCAGGAGAGAGAGAAAGGACTGAACCCAAGAAGCTGGGTCATGAACTCATCACAGAGCAGTCCTTTCTCTCCCTGGCTGGCATGGACTGTAAAGGGCCAGTGTCTGGAACAGAAGCTTTCATAGACATCATCTCATCAAAACACCCCACTAATCCTGTAGGACTAGAAATGATTACCCCATGTTGTGGCTCATAAGGCCCAGAGGGTGCAAATAACTCATCCAAGGCCATCAAGTTATGAAGGGAGAGAAGCACATTTCAGACCCGTGACTTTGGACTCACGGGTGCAAATTCCAGATGGAACCATGTTCTCTCTTGTGTTTTCATGTATTTCCCCATCTGGGGGGGGTTCCTTTCAAAGGAAGAAGGAGAGGCTGCTGTGACATAAGGCACACACCTCATGCCACCTGTCACCTAGGTATCTCAACACGAGGGACCCTCAGCTCAACAGCACTGCCCGCAGCATCTCTATAGCAACAGTCATGCAGGGTACCATTGTCTTTCTCGAGCCAACAGGTGGCTGGGTGACTAGTCTAACCAACACAGGTGACCGTCCCAGCCGAGTCTCTGACTAGGACGAAGCTCCTGAATGGCCCCACGCTGTGACGGCATCTCACGGAGTTGTTGCTATGGTTTTGGCGAGAAGTATTGCTTTTCTGAGGACTGCAAAACACTTCGCTTTCCAACCCCAATGCTTGTTCATTCCTGACAGGGTGGAAAATGTGCCTCCTTGGCTGAAATGTTCCTCTTGAGTCCAGCCCAAAGATGACATTTTTAGGAAAGTTTGAGAAGAATCCTGTGGCTGGTACTGAGTCACGATAGAGTAGAAATGGATCTTTTCTATTTAAAGAGTTCTGTGCTACTGTTTGAAAATGTCATATTGCTAGGGAACAGTGGAAATAGAAAACTTTCCATTTGCCATCAACAAAGAGAGATGGTTCCTGAATGAGAAACAATGGAGTTGAGGGCAAGTTCTGTTACCTGTCTGACTGAAGTAATAGGCCGATGGGAGTTTAGTTAGGGAAGATTAGTCCAAATAAGCCGGGTGTGCTAGGAAGGGATTGTTCACCTGAAATACAGCACATGCGATTCTAGATCTCTTTCTGCTATTTAGTTGTTACTTTAGACAGGTCCCAGACTCTCTCCGGACCTCAGTGTCAATATAAATGAAAAGGGGAGATTAGATTAGATCCCAATTTCCCCAATTTCCCTGATATCAAGAGTCACTTAGGGACTGAAAAAACCCCAACCAATTCCTTGGTTCCTTTCTAGAAGATTCTAGTTCAGCAGGTCTGGGAATATATTGGAAATCTATTTTAACAAGTCTTCCGGAAATTCTGAGGAGAAAGTAGGTGTGAGAAAGAAAAACAAGCAAATATAATGTGCAAAAATGGGACCACGTTTTTACACCATTTTGTGCCTTGCTTTTTTACTGATAACATATGGTTACTTCGTGTGTGTGTGTGTGTGTGTGTGTGTGTGTGTATAAATTCTCATTTTTAATGGCGACATTGTATTTCATCGTGTTTCAGTATCTGTTTAACCCTCTTTTATTACACATTTAATGTTTTGCTTTCCCCAGAAGTGATATATTCTTTTGGATTGCCAGTAGGACGACGGGCGGGCCCCCATTTCACTACACCCTTGTTAAAGAAAATTCCAAATTACGGTAAGCACTGCTGAGAGAGGCTTTCAGAACAGGGTGGGGAGGACACTGAGGAAGGAGGCTCGTGCACATCTCCTATCTCAGCCTTTGGAACACCGGGGACTTTTGACTTCTGTCAATTGCAACTTGTCAGTTTCCCGTCCACCACCTCCTACAACAGGACTTTGGACTGGAACGGAGATAATGCAGCATCTGTTGGTGGAAGAGCCAACCCTGCAGTAGGGAGTCAGTTTAACTCTGTCAGCACCAGTCCTGATTCCTTCAAAACAAGTTACGTAACTATGTTTTCTGCCTTTAGAAGCCTGCCCCCTGCTCACAATGTGGAGCACACAGAGTTTGGTTCCCTCTGTGTCTCCGGGACTGCAATTCCTAAGACCCCCAAATAAGCATTTTTGCTTACAGCCTCTTCTTCTTGGTCAACACCCCCACTAACACTGGATGATGATGTTATTAAAGAAGAAAAAAGCTTTGCTAATTCGATAATAAGGGGATTCTCATTGTATTTCTTAATCCGCCAAACATGTTTTCAAAGACTTGTTGACTATTAATATCTTTTTTATGTGAATTGCCTGATAACATTCTTGGCAAATTTTTTCTTTTTTTCTTAACAGAGCTATTTATATTTAAAACACGCTAAATATAGTCATCTATGTTGTAAATTTCCCCCGGTTTTAGTTTGCTGGTCAATTTTGTTTGTAATGATTTTGGCATTTAACATTGCTACATGCAATCCTTTTAAAAACTCTTACGAATTCTATCTTTGGTGTATACAGAGAAAGACCTCCATATCCAGATAATAGATTTGCTTAAATGTTATTTTATGGTTTTGATTTCTGCATTTGACTTTGCAATGCATCACATTTTACTATACAGTATTAGAAAAGGCTCTAATTGGGGCGTCTGGGTGAATCAGTCAGTTAAGTGTCCCACTTTGGCTCAGGTCATGATCTCAG